ATATATACGTATCAATATCGTAGCTCAATTGCTGGAATATATTTGTTTTTGAAAAGTGTTCTTGTTAATATTGCATTTTTTTGTAACATACACGTGCTCCGACAATTTTTTTTTTTTGCATTGTGTTATCACATATATGCGTGTATGGGCTCAACAGAGTTCTCTTCTTGCGACCCTGTTCAAAGGGATTGTACTAAAATTAAGTGTACATGTTGTGCTTACACTAGCAAGGTTTAATTCGTAGATTGCCTGAAAGCCGTACACTTGGCTATTTGTTTAGATTGATCTCCTAATGTCACTTCACGTTTGCGACACCTCCTCCCCATCGCAGGTGGGTCCCGTATGTCGGAATCATCACAATCCTCATGAACGACTATCCGCAGCTCAAGTTTGTGATGCTGGCTGTGCTGGGCTTTTACGTATTGATTACTAGAGAATAAAAGAAAATTGTGTGTCTATGTTATAACTCAATAACTTGTACTTAAGAATACTCAAGACAGGACGTATTGGTGAATAAAACCTAGATATACTATACATGATGATGTCTTGACGCTACGCAATTTTGACTGGAGAATATTTACTGGCACTATGAGTTATTTACTGGAGAGAATATTTATAGAGGCGAGCCATAAGATAGGCTGAAAATCAATTAAAATGATTCGAGACTTCTACATGGTATGGCATTTAACGTATCGTAAAGTCTCTATTTAACTATACAACTTACACGATCTACCAATTTCCCTGCGCGAGCCACGCTGGTCTGTTGTCTTGTGTCATATAAATACCTCAAGCCAGAGGTGGATTCAATTACAGGCCCGAACTTATCATATATCACACGCTACCCTCGCATTTATTGACTACACTGACCCTAGACAGTAATTGCGCTCTACTTTGACGGCATCAGCTATCTCGACGATTGATTTGACTCAATGCTTAAGATGTCAACATCTGCACGCTATTTTGCTATATATATATATAAACTTTTTTGGGATACCATCCTCGCTCTTACTACCTATACGATCTGTCCGAAGCCCCGTCCATATACATGGAGCGCCTACAACAATCCTAATTTCATTTTTTGCCCGTATTGTTTCCCGGATCAATTTCCGCCGAAAAGCCGCTCAATCTCACGTCCAGAGAATCCTCGCAATAATAAATCCGGTTTTTGTATTTAAGCAGTCTCGCTGAACGCTATCGATAATCTCATACTCTTCCTCCTCTCTCTCATGTGCACTGTAGACGTAACCCCGTGCGGTATCTCTCTAACAAGTATAACATATAACATGTTACATTCCAATTCAGTTAAGAAAATACCGACCCCCGTGCCTACGTCTTCGCGTGTTACTTTCCAGTATCACAAAAACCTCATGCGGATAAGGCTTGGTACCAAATCTAGATATCTCTACGTCACCTCAACGGCCTAGCAAACGGGCATCCAGACTCGGTGAAGTACTCGTAATGCTCATCATGACACGACAGTATGCACCTGTTCTCATCTGCGTGCGATTGACACGGCGTTAAACACGCGTTGCGATAGATAGCCAGACAGTTCACACCACGTGAAATGGTGGTGGCCCTCCTTTCAGGCAACGCATACACACTTGAAACTATGCTTAGGCTGAAGATCATAGCTAGCCATTTTAAGCACATTGAAGTGGCAAGCATATTGATGTATGGATGGAGGTGCGTGTATTGTGTGTATATACACGTTAGCTATATTATAGAGTATGAGTGAGCGAGAGTGGTACTTAAATATTTACCACACCGGGGTGTACTCTTAGTCCAATTCAAGACTGCTTATGTTACAGTCGTAATCGTTGAAGCAGATACTAAATAGTATTATACTAGATGACCTCCTCTGATATATCTTGCAGTCAAAACTCATCAAAACTCGACACTGCAGTATATTCGGCAATTCACTACCCTCAACCTATAAACACCTTATCACGAGATTACTTGCGAATGTGTGCAACACGATGAAACTCACGCAGAAGCTATAACGGATTCCAGAATCCAAACTGCTGCTGAGGAAAGAAAACTCGAAATTCTCACCGCAGAAAAAAATTGTTGTATATGCAATGTAGCTGTAGCCCGTAGGTTGCTCTCGCTCTCGCCGCCTCAGCCCTCAAGCTCTCGGTCGCAAAAAATGTCGTATTTGATAAATAAATAAAAAGACTCCGAAGATAAAATTTAAAAAAAATTATAACAAAACGTTTCCTTTTGAAAATACAATAGACTTACGTCACAATCACACGACACACGGGAAACGCCACCAATGTTTTCAAAAATAAACGATCGGAAGAGTGAAAACATTTAAATCCACCTCTTTATTTTAAAAGGTTAGAGTCGGGATTCGGCCATTCGGGACTCGGCCCACTCGGGTCAACTCACGGGTGTGCGACTGGTCGCATAAGACTTTGAGCGAGCTTCTTTTGGAAAGACTTGAGGTAGACTCTGGACTCTGGACTCTGGACTCTGCCCTTTACAGTCGACCACCCTAGCTGCAGCAGGGGCCCAGACTCAGAGAGAGTCTGTGTCTCTGTGAGTCTGGACTGAAATTCTGAGATTCTGAGTGAGTCTGAGTGAGTCTGAGAGAGGCACTGAGTTACTGAGAGAGTCAGGGACTCAGAGACCTTTATTGAATAATAGACACTGACCAAACTTTTTAAAATAAATTAAAGCAGTGTCACCTTGAAACATTTAGTTCGGCCAAGTCAACTAAACCGCACCAATCAAAAACCATAAGAATTTAAGAATTATCCGCAATTTTAAGTTTATTCAATCAGAAGTTCAACTGAATTTCGGGTTTTTTGCTGCGGGAAATATTGGAGTAAAATACCTGGCATTTTGTAGAACAAATATCGTTATATTTTAACGAGAACAATAAAATCATTAGAACAGTATAAAAATAAGCTTGTTGTGTTTTTTTAAAGCAAGTATTTTTAGCCGTTTTTATATAAAATATCACTGCAGACTTAATTGTTTTTTTAAAATAGAAGAAAAATAAATCGCAATGCCGCATGGCTTATTATTTTGAAAAAATATGTTCTGGAAAAAACGAATTTTGAAAAAAGTAAATACAGACGGAAAAAGTGAAGTCTTGATTGAAATGTAAATATTACTATATTGAAATTAAATATGGACCTATCTCTCTTGTGATCAATTATCCTTCATACTTGACACTGAATTTTGAACGCGATGTGTATTGTGATTTCGATGTGTCTATCGTGCATGTGCCCGTGAATTGCGTATAGGGCTAATAGTATCAGGTTGTAAATCGACTTATCGTGTCAAAATAATTTAGGACCTGTATGTGAAATAACTCTGCACTGAAGAATCTAAAACAATTAAAGCTTTCGACATATCGTAATGGACCTATTAGGAAGTTGTATTATCCAATCTTCCACCTCGACAGTATGTAGTTTTTTGCTTTCAATCCAGACAGTTCCTATGTGTGGTATATATTCGCAATTGGAGGACTCGTATCAATTGAAGTTTTCTGTACGTATAGTGATAGACTCAACTAGAAGCTTGATTGAATCATTGTACTATCTACACAGGGCACGGATTCAAATATATATATTTGCAACAGAGATAGACAGGTTATATAACCTTCGTTGGGCGTGTGTATGTGCAGCTAAACAAGTGGTCATTATGCACTTTATGGGCATATATCGAGGAATGAGTTATGTGACAATAAGACAGCTATTTATTTCACTCTGTAATTCCGCTTTTTAAGACACTTTTATCGTTGTAGTATCGAGTGAGACAACTGTGTTCTGGACACTCCTACATAATGCGTATTTTTAGTATTTATGTACTTATACATATTTTAACCTCTATTGTTTTTGGGGGGTTTTGTTTTTAAAACAAACCCCTCAAATATCTATGAAAAAAAAGACTGCATGTGAACATTTAGGGTTTAGAGTTTTAGGATTTATTGTCTCTAGGAATGACAGTATGACACGCTGTCAAATCATACATAGCCTTCTGAAAAGAATTAAGAAATCGAAGATGAAAAAAATAGTATTTGCGCTGCAACTTGCAACGTATTTATACGTGTGCTCAATTCGGCCCAAAAAAAAATCGCTAACAACACAGTGCTTACATAGTGCACCTTATTTATATCTTTTGGCCACAAAACTCGGTATAACCAAATTAACCCTAAACCCTGGGATCAATAGCCAACCAGTGTCAAAATATCAGGGCAAAATTGAACACCAAGCTGACCTGGAATTTGCCACCACCCAAAAAACTTGATCCCACGAAACTAAACGTTGTAACGTAAAACGTTATGAGGTTGGCACATAAGCGTGTTTGTTGGAATGAATTCGGCTTTTTGTACTCGTTTATGTATGTGACACTTATACGTACTCGTCATCTACTGCGAGACACATATATTTATTTAAATATATTGTTGACACAAAATTGCCAAAGGTGTAGATACTATGCCTCCCTTAGCGACGACCATATTACACAATCAACAGGACACGATGTTTAAAATCGTTTCGAGCGAAGCGGCTACACAGTGTGGTCCCACAGTCGTATTTGCACACGCTGATCAAGCATGTATATCGAATAGAGCCTTGTATCTACTAGACGCCGGGTGCAAAAATTCAATTGTGGATGAATATACTTTAAAAGATGGATCGGAAGCGAGCATAAAACCGATCACTGAAGACGCTTGTGAAGTTCCTGATTTGAAGGTTTGTATATCAATTGAATCGCCGTTTATAAGTACGTAATTAGTTCATCCAGTATACGATAACGTGGACTATAGTAGTCTTATACTGCCCTTGGTTTTATATGCATTGTGGACATTTTGCTACTACTCGATACCAGTAATCGGAAGAGATCGAGAAATAGCATAGTTTGAGTCCATATTACTACCAGTTGAGATGAATATATATATATATATATATATAT